CCAGAAGGCTGGTGGTTCAAATCCACCAGCCACTCCTCAGAAGGAAGATGGGGCAATCTACTTCCGTAGTGATACTGCCTCGGAAACCCAAGGAGGGGTCGCTATGAGTTGGTCCAACTCGACGGCACACAACAACAACAACAACAAGGTAGAGAGCAAGTCTACAGCCAAAGAAATCTTAAGAGGAGATGGTAACAAAGCAGACTGAAATTGGGTAGTGGGTTCATTAGTCTTTATTCTGTTAGTCGTTTGTTCTTGTTCTGTGCCTTTAAAATATTTTCTTCAAAAAGTCAGATGATTAAAAATAAAATCCAGATATAAGTAGATGTAAGTAGTATTGGACAGCTATAAGTTAAAGATATGAGTCATTAGCTTAACCCCACTGCCACTGAGTCACTTTCCACTCAAAGCAACCCTATAGGACAGAGTAGAACTGCCCTATAGGTACCCAAGGCTGTAAATCTTTACAGAAGCAGACTGTCTCATCTTTGTCCCAGGGAATAGCTGATGGGTTCACACTGTTGACCTTTCAGTTAGCAGCTGAATGCCTTAACTACTGTGTCACCAGAGCACCTTCATTTAATTTTTATAATGCAATTCCTATTTAAGTCAGCAGGAACTAAAATAAGTATTCAAGTAAAAACATAAGACTTTTGCAACAAATCTAAGAAAGCTACTTTGTTTGTTATCCTTTGCATAAACCTCCATATGCTCTTGTCTCTCTTGTTCAGAATGCTAAAGTTTAAGGTGAAAAATAAATCAACTGTTTCTGTCAGTACTTAGGCAACCAATTCATTCAATCTTGTATTCACATTTCCTTGTCTGTGAAGTTGTTCTTGTTAGTTGCCATCAAGTAAGCTCTGACTCTTGGCAACCTTATATATAAAAGAATGATCCATTGCCAGATCCTGCACATCATCATGATTGTGGGAGTGTTGCAGTGCGTTGTTGGGCTGTTGTGTAGTGCCTTCCAGCCTAAGGGACTCATTTCCCAGCACTCTATCAGCTTATACGCTGTTGTGATAAATAAGGTTTTCTTCGACTGGTATTTGGAAACAGATCACCTGACTTTTCTTCCTAGTCCATCTTAGTCTGGAAGCTCTGCTTAAGCCTATCCACCATGGGTAACCTTACTGATACATGAATACCAGTGGCATAGCTTCCAGCATCATAGCAACATGTAACCTACCACAGTACAACATACTGACAGATGGGTGGTAGATCTGTGAAGTAGGAATAATAATACTATATGTTACACAGTGTTGTAATAATTACATTTAAAAGCCTTAGTTACTTAGTTACAGTCTTATTCCCCAGGGCTCCACAAGAGGATTAAGCCCTACAGAAAATGACTTGAGTGACTATTTTCTCAGTTTTGCCAAAGATGGTATAGAACCATTCTTGCTGCATTGGAAGTAAGTGAAGTCATTTCAGATAATTGAAGTTTTAGGCATTAGGGCTTAATTCCTTTTGGTAAACTCAATTCAGAAGGACTGATGAGTGTTCAATAAATAGTTGCTGTTATTATTTTGGTTACAAATGACAGAAACTCTAGTTCAATCTGGTTTATATAATAAAGGGATTTTATTGGTTCATGTAAATGAAAAATCAGGTTAGGAAAGACTTCAGAGATGGTTTGACTAGGACAGAATTAGTATTTTTGCTGTTCTTTGGTTTTGCCTGTCTTAAAACTAAATTTAAAAACATCCGCGTGAAAAGATGGCTGAATAGGCAGACAAACTGCGCAAACCCTCTTCAACAAAGAAAAGAGGAACCAGTTAACACAGATACTGCAGATAATCCTGGAGCCTTGAACTTTGAAAGGAAGGATACAGAAGTGGACTAAACTCCAACTAGTAGAAGAACCGGCATGAAAACACTGAAAAAGACATGTGGAGCTGTGGTCTGTCAGTGATGTGATCCTGATGGCACAGACAGCTTGGATATTGCCAAGTGGTGTTAGGACCTAAGAATTAACCTAAAAATAGGCTCTGCCAGCCAGAGGCTGCACAGAAGACTGCACTGGTGACTAGTGAATAAAAGGGGAAGCAGCGAAGAGGGAGGCAGGCTGAACTGTGGACTTTGGCTCTCCAGAGGGCACAGGCATTTTGAATGTTTACAGGCATTTTGACCATTTTGGATATTTAAAGCAACAACGTTCTCTCAGATTCCAGGGACCTAAGAATAGGCTCCACTGCTTGGGGACTGCAAGGACATTCTGGACATGAAGGACTGGAAAGGTGTGATGGAGCCTGGGTGCCCTGCCCCACCCCACCAAGATTTTTTTCCTTTTTTTTTTTTTTTCCAGTTTGTTTGTTTTTGTCCATTATTAAAGTATTATTATTATTATTGTTCTTTTTTGTGTGTGTCCTTTTTATTATTAATCTTTCTAATTCCCTTCCCAGGTTCTAGTTTTCAGTTTTTTCTCTCTTCCCTGTTTGTAGTTCTCATTTTTTTCTTTCTTTTGGTTCTCCCCATTCCTTGTTTTTCTTTTTGCATTTTTCCAATTTTTTTCTTCATTATTTTCCTTCTCCACCACTTTTCTCTTATTCCCTCTTCCCCAGATATTGAGGGATTTGTTTTTTTCTCCCTTTTTCTATTCATATTTCTTTTGCCTTTTTAAAGTATTTCTTTAAATATTTTCTCTCTTTTATTGCCTTTCCTCGTCTCCCCCCCCCCCTTTTTTTTTCTTTTTTCTCTTTTTGGTGATTGTTCCTGCATGCTTAATGCAGTGTGTGTTTTTTGCCCTCTTGCTTTTACCTTTTTGATGTTTTTTTTTTTATTGTTGTTTTTGTCTGAGTGGCAGACAGCAGCTGTGCTCATACAACCCAAGCACACCTGCACCTCCTGCAGCTCCACTTACTGAACAAGAGCCAGCACTTCCTGCTGCACCAACTGGTCAATGACACATGACCACCAATAAGAGCCAGACTTAGCCTTAATTGCTCTTCATAAACAGTTAACAGCGATCTGTGCAGCCACTCTCATTCTCTATCACAACCACCAGAAGACGAGTGGTGAGTGTAAAAGTGCTGCCAACTAGCGAATAGAGGAGCGCAGTACCCTGCTTACTAATATACATCCAATCAAAACAAAGGAAAGAAAAATCTTGGGCGAATCACTCCAACATACAATCACCAGTTAAATATAAATACAACAACGTCACAATGTCTCAGAGACAAAAGACCATCACAATCCACACAAAGAAGCAAGATAAAGCACTAGGAACAAGGGAGCAGCATACAGACCCAGCACACATCCCTGAAGAAGCAGCAGCATTGGAACTCCCTGATAAGGAATTCAAAAGAATTATATATAGGTACCTTCAACAGATTGAGAGACAGATCAAGGAAAACGCTGACAAAATTGAGGAAAACACAGACAAAACCCTGGAATAATTTCAGAAGAAAATACAAGAACAAAATGACAAAATAAATGAAAAATTAGAAATGATGCAAAATCTACAGATAGAAGTCCAGAAGATTAATACTAAATTTTAAGAAATAGATAACACATTGAAAGGGCAAAGGAGTAGAATCGAATCAATAGAAGATAGAATTCATGAGATTGAAGACAAATACCTGAATACTTCTTTGGAAAGGGATCAATCAGAAAAAAGATCAAAACAAAATGAAGAAAGCCAAAAATTCATGTGGGATACCATCAAAAGGAATACTACGTGTAATTGGAATTCCAGAACAGGAAGAGTAAAAAAATACCACTGAGAAAATTGTCCAGGATGGGTTGGAAGAGAATTTCCCTGATATGAAAGATGAGAATATATCCATGCAAGAAGTCCAGTAACCCCAAAACAGGATAGACCCCAAAAGAAAATTACCGAGACAGGTCATCATCAAACTCACCAAAACCAAAGAAAGAATCCTGAGAGCAACATGGGAAAAATGAAAAGTTACCTACAAAGGGCAACCAATAAGACTAATTTCTCAGCAGAAACCACGCAGGCAAGAAGGCAATGGGATGGATATAAAACCCTGAAAGAGAAAAATTTCCAGTGAAGAATTATATACCCAGCAAAATTGTCCCTCAAATATGATGGTGAAATTAGGACATTTCCAAATAAGCAGAAATTAAGGGAATTTGTTAAAACCAACTTGTAAAGTTGTCTTGTAAAGACCAACTTTACAAGAGATGCTAAAGTCCTTTGAACAGAGAACCAATAATAGCAAACAACAACCAACCATTAATACACACAATGACATAACCCAGAAATCAACCCGGTTATGGAAGTATCCAAAGTAAAAATAGCTTACAAGATTGTAAACAGGGAACCAGAGACATCAATTGGCAAATGAGGACAACTACAAACCAAAAAGAGAAAAAGTAGTGTACTTACAGAACTTCTAAATTGTGAGGAAGTCTAGAGAGTTGCAAGAGAGATTGGACTGTTCTAAACTTGGGGAGAAAATTATAAATTACAGGGTAACCTCAAAGAGAAAATGATAACCTTTCACACCACAACAAAAAAGAGGACAAGCACAAATATTAAAACATATAGTTCTTCTTCCTGCCAAAGATTTTAGAGAATAGTGGATAGGAGAAAGTGGAGGGTGAACTTTCCCAGGCAAAAGCAGCCCTCCCAATGTAGCACTGAGCAGCTTACCACCTCCTTAACAAAGCGCTGAATCTCTTAAGGTATGGATAGAGAATCATCTGCCCTCAAGGTAGCTAATGGCTACATTAGATAAATAGCTTTGAAATTTTCTTTAGTAGACCTTTTCAAATGCCTGATTTCTAAGAGTCCCTCAAAAGGTACATTTTTTAAAATTGTATTTATTATAAATAACTCTCATTAAGCAATATTGATAAATATTCAGCACAGGTCACAGTGAATTATTTTTCAGAGATACTAATATAATGGGATTTGTTCAGAATTCAGAATTAAAGTATATGCACTTAAGCTGTACTATATCTTGAAATATTTGACTCCATGCTGTAAAAGTTAACTATTATTTTTACTTTGCTATATTGTAACAAAACAGAAAGAAGAAGGAAAGCTCCAAGGACAGCTTAACAAGTCTGATTCTAACCAGTATATTAGGGAACTGAAAGATCAGATAGCAGAGCTGAATCATGAGGTAAGTGATAAATTTTGATCTTCACATATTTCTTTCTTCCTTCCTCTGCATTGTAACAACACTTTATTACTGGTAATGAGACTCTCTTATGCTAAATATTTTCTTTGAATCCTTGATTATAATTAATAATAATATTCTACAAGATTATCTTTTCATAAGGTTTTTTTCCTGTGGCACTAATGAAGATTTATTTTCCTTCAACCTTTCAATCATATCTTAAAATGATCAATTAATACTTGCCTGGCAAATATTTCATTATTTTATTGTGGTCTGAAAATCCTTGACAGTTTTCCTAGGTGCCAAAAATTACTTTAATTAAACTAAAATTTCCCTCATACTTAAAGTATAGATTTATGATATTTACCGTTGTGAGTAGAAGGAAGTCTTTTACACTTGTTTTTTTTTTTTTTTTCTCCTCACGGTGGTATTACTGAGATTGCAAAAAAGGATACTTGCCTAATATCAGTTAACAGATTTCTCAGTATCTGAACACTTTTTAAACTGGCTTTACCTTGAATCCGTGAGATTCAGCTCATGAAATTTTCAGATAGTTGACTGAGTACTATACTAGTAATTTAAATGATCTGAACTGAGGTGTTTTGAATAGAGAGACACTTTTTGTTCATGGGATTCTAGGTAACTTTTCTTGTTCTCTCTTATTTTCTAAATAAATACTGGCTACACACAAATGGAAAGACATGTTTCTTATTTTCAGTTATTTTCGTAGTGATATGATTTGAAAGGGTAATCTGAACTTCATTAGTTTAAAAGAAGAAATAAGCTCATTTTAACTCTAAATGAATTTAAACCTCAAGGAAAAAGTTTGGACACTACCTTTTCCTGGTATTACATCCTTCATTTCCCTTCAGTTAAAGCCTGAGTGATTTGAGTAATACCTCCTGGAAGTAATAAATCTAAGAATAAATTCTGAATGAAGAACAAACAAACATTAACAAAAATGATTCATCTTATATGTAGCTTAATTTACTTGGTCCTGAAATTTTTCAGATCATTTCTGTAAGTAATTGGTAACATGATAACATTTGAGAGGTTCGGGTTATGGTGTCATTTTTACTTATTTGTGTATATGTTTTATAATGTGTTTTTGCTCCATTAGCCATGTATGGGGAAAAAAGTTACAAATAAGTATGTTCTGGAAATCCTTGTTCTTATGAGAACCCTAGGAATTATCCCTTTTGTTCAAAAGGTGTCCCAAGGATATTATGTCTAAAATAAAGAAATCGCCCTGTTAAAATTTTTACTTTTGGTGTTAAGGAAACTTTAATGTTACTAAATTAAGAAAAATGTATATGGGTTGACTATATCTCTATAAAATTCTCTAAAACTCAGTTAGCAAACATTAATTTTGCCTGTTACGTACTTTGACTACAAATAAGGATATTCTCAGGACTGTCAGAAAAGAGTTCACATACAGTTTAACTTTAATGTCAGTTTTTGATGTATGATCTGTGAAAGCAATCTCTTATTCTATACGCACATGAAAAGAAAATTGATCAACAGGCTAGAGTTTTGTACTGTTGAAGAGTAGTTAGATTGTGCAAATTAAAGACTAGAACAGTGTGATGTTTATGATGTGATGCTAATTGTGAAGTTTAAGGCAGGCCAGAGTCCTGGGTATAAGCAGACATAAGTCAAAAAACATAGTAGAGAGGTGAAGTGACTACCATACAGCTGAGGACAGAACAAGTAAGGGTTCCGTGGTAAGGATGAGCATAGGGCTGGAAATGCAAAGGAGGCCAGATTCGACTGAAGAATTAATGCGACCAAGTTGTGAGAAATAAGGGTAGACTGAATAGAAGCAGGTTATGGTAAACTTTCAGAGCTAGAAGAAATTAAACTTAGGAGGTGGCGTAGTACCTAAGACATCTGACTGATAACCAGAAGGCTGGCAGTTCAAATCTACCAGCTGCTCCTTGAAGGAAGATTGGGCACTCTACTTCCATAGAGATACCACCTCAGAAGCCCAAAGAGGGGTCACTATGAGTCAGGATCAACTCAACAGCATTGAGTTTGGTTTGGTTTGTTCCCTAAAAAAAAAAACTCATTGCCATTGAGTTGATTCCAACTCATAGTGACCCGCATTGGTTTCTGAGGCAGTAAATCTTTACAGAAGTAGATTGCCCCATCTTCCTTCCATGGAGCAAGTGGTGGGTTTGAGCTGCCAGCCTTCTGCTTAGCAGTCAAATGCCTTCAGCACTGCACCACCAGAACTCCTTATTAAACCATTATGGGTCTTTAATTGGAGATTTGTTTTCTAAGCAGATTATATTTGCCTGTTTCAGAGATTTATCACTAAAGGGAAGATAACTGAAAATGGGTGAAAGTTTAAACTAAGATGGTAGTTGGAGTAGATTTACAGTGAACAGTACTGTTTATTAGACCAGCTTCATAGAGGGTTAAAAAAGGTGTCAAGTTTTTTGTTCTTGCATTTTCATTTCTTCACGGTGAAGAAAAAAAAAAAAAAATCTCCTCTTCCTGCTGCTTACTGTGATCCATCTTAGTGGCTTCTCTGACTCCTAACCTCTGGATTCCTATCTTTAACACCTGACTAATTTCACTTCTAATTTTGCCTACTTCCTGTGGAAATTTTTAATTTAAAGCCTCTTAACCTCTGCCAAGTTTGTCACAGAAGCCATTGTGGAAACCCTGATGCCCCAGACCTGCTAAAAGCTATGGTTGAATCCTCCCCTACTTCCCACATCCAGTGCCCAAGGCATACATAGGAAAGGACCTGGGTCCCTAGTTCAAGTGTTTTCTTTACTCTGATCTCCCCACCTCCTTCCCTCCTACCATCCATCATCAAAGGACCTATTATATATAGTAGGCACTGGGCTTAGAACTGAAAAAAAAGATTGAAGTATAGTCCATGCCTTCATGAAACATATTCTAACAATGGAGACAGGCATACAAATAAACAAGTAGTGATATATAGCAGTAGAATAGTATACTAGCTATCATTCATTCAACAGTTTTTTTCTGTGCCAGACACTGTACTATTTCCATTATTTCTTTAATCTTCACAACAGTCTTATGAAGGTGGATGTCATCATTGTTGTTCATATTTTACATTGATAAAACTGAAGTTGGAGATTAAATAACTCCTCACAGTCTTAAACTAGTCAGTGGTAGAGGTGGGATTTTAATTCAGGCAATATGACTCCAAGCCTATGCACTTAATCACCATAAGCTGTATTATTGTTAGATGCTGTTGAGTCCGTTCCAACTCATAGCAACCCTGTGTGAAAGAGAACAAAACACTGCCCAGCCCTGTGTCATCCTCACAGTTGTTGCTGTGTCTGTGTCCGTTGTTGTAGTCACTGTATTAGTCCATCTCTACTTTACCAAGCATGATGTCCTCCAGGAACTGGTCCCTCATGATAACGTGTCCAAAGTACATGAGATGAAGTCTCACCATCCTCATTTCTAAGGAGCATTCTGGTTGTACTTCTTCCAACATAGATTTATCTGTTTTTCTGGAAGTCCATGGTATATTCAATATTCTTTACCAACACCATAACTCAGAGACATAAGTTCTTGTTTAGTCTTCTGTATTCATTGTCCAGCTTTCATACGCATATGACACAATTGAAAATACCATGACTTGGGTCAGGCACACCTTAGTCTTCAAGATGCTCCAACAGAATTCTGAAATTATCAAACAGTATTATTACTATCACATGCAAGTAAAATTATACTGAAGTGGAACAAGGGATATTGTTGATATCATATGGATCTTGGCTGAAAGAGAATACCAGAAAGATGTTTACCTGTGTTTTGTCGACTATGCAGAAGCATTCAACTGTGTAGATTACAAAATTATTTGTGGATAACATTGCAAAGAGTGGGAATTACAGAACACTTAATTGTGCACATGAGAAACTTGTACATAGACCAAGAAGTGGTTGTTTGAACAGAACAAGGAACATGCTGCATGATTTAAAAGTAGAAAAAGTATGCATCAGGAATGTATCCTTTCACCATATATGCTATATATTTTCCTTAAAAACATACAGGGATCTTTGTTTCAGAAACTAATGAGAAAATGTTTTTTAAATGCAAATTTTATGTGTTCACTTGTTCTTCATCGTGATGTATGTAATGTTTGTGGGACTGGTGGATGTTCTAGGAGGAAGTAAGTGTATTCCAGACTAAGAAGAGTTTACTTACACTAAAAATTAAATATTTCCCCATTGAACAGCTTTACTCAATTTTTATAATGTCCTATTAAAAACAGTTTTAATGTACCTTACATCTTTAAAATCTCACAAAAGTAATTCTAGTTCTACTTGCTTAGTAGCTTTTCTGTATAAATTTTCCCTGTTTTTATTAAACTTTCTGTGTGGTAGCCACTAAACCAGGTATAGGCATGATGAATGATTGTTTTAATGTTGACAGTTGTCCTGTGAAAATTATTATTTTCATTTAGGCTCGTTCGCTCAGAGAGACTAAACAACTTGTTCAAAGCTATGTAATTCATAAGTGACAGAAGCTGAATTCTAGATCAGGACTTTTGGTTAGACTGCAGTGTACTAAACTAGAATGAAGTGAAAGCAGACCAAATTATATATGTTTAAGGAAAAGGAAAAAAGAAAAAAACCTTCAAAGCACTTTTATTGGTTAATACCTTACCCTGCCCCAAATAAAGGATGCCAGCAGGCACAGTGGTAAAGCACTTGGCTGCTAACCAGAAGATCAGTTCAAAACCAGAGCCACTCTACAGGAGAAAGATGTGGCAATCTGCTTTCATAAAGATTACAGTCTTGGAAACCCTCTAGGATGGTTCTGCCCTGTTCTGCAGGATCACTGAGTTGGAATCAACTTGACAATGAGTTTGGTTTTTATGGGTTGCTCTTTTTGTTGTTGTTGTTGTAATGTGCCATCGAGTCGGACCCGACTCATAGCGACCCCTCCTTGGGTTTCCGAGGCAGTATCACTACGGAAGTAGATTGCCCCATCTTCCTTCAGAGGAGTGGCTGGTG